CTATGGATGGTCATCAGGAAGTTGACCGCGTCATCTCCGATCGCAAGTACGGCAGCAAGCCGCGACAGTACAAAGTCACATTCAAAGCATGCGATTGCAACGACACTCGGTGGATTTCAGGCGCAGATTTGATAGCATCTGCACCGCTGATCTACGCGCATTATGAAAAGCGGAGGTTAGCTCAGGAAGCTTCACGACCAGCCCCTCCCACCCGGACTGTGGTCCCTCCCTCAGACAGACAGCTTCGCCCTCGCAGGTAAGCTCGGTTCTTCAAGGAGGGGGGGGTGTGGCATACTGCGTAACCACACGGGCCCTGCAGGGCCCATCCCGGACATTCAGCCTAAAAGCCTAAAACTTAGGGATTACAGGCCCCGGTCGTTTCAGCCTGAAAGCTGAAAAACGAGGGCCTGCAGGCCCTACTCCGTTTTAGCCTATTTCTGGGTCTTTCAGACCCTGAGTTTTTCCAGCCTGAAACGGAGGGCCATTTTTAGGCCCTCATTGTTTCGACCTGCCCCTAAGACTCAGGCACGTAAACAGGGATGCGGAACAGGCCAAAAATAGTCTGTTCCTCGCTTGAGCAGGAGCTGCAGCGGCAGCCCCTGACTCCGATCGGCATTGACAAGAGCAGCCTCCTGGACTGCTCGCCTACAGTCAGGAGGCACCCGTGGTAGTACATAGGGACTTCCCAGGCACTTCACGGGTAGGTAGAGTCAGTAGGCACGAGTAGTCTTCAGGATTCGGGCAGCACTCAGGAGGAGCGCTGCAGTAGTCTTCAGCGCTAGGCAGTAGTCAGCGCTAGCTGTAGTCTTCGGCGCTGGGCGCCATAGCCATAGAGTAGTCTTCAGCACTGGGCGCTGGTAGGTGGTAGATCGTAGAGTTGGGAGAGATACTGGCGGAGGCCAGTGGTACCTACCTGTGGCGCCATCGCTCCAGCTCCATCTTCGAGGTACCTGCATCAAGGTGCCAACTTCACAGGTTAGTACTGGACACAGAGAGAGAGAGAGAGTTCTTCTTCTTCCTCTTCTAAGTCCACCATCTCTTCTCACCCTCTCGCCACCTGACTTCTCAGACCACGACAGAGAGAGACAGATTTGTGACTTGAGACTTGACGACATTGGATCCAGACTTGACATTTGGGATAGACATTTTGACAAGGGACTATTTGGGCCTGTGCCGAAGACTTGGTGTTGACGACATTCCCATCTTCCCCCTCCTCTTCGTCTAACCCCTTCTTCTTCGTCTGTGTATGGTAGGGGCTGGCGCAGTCTTCCTGTGTGAAGCGCCAGACCCCATTCACACCATGTAACGATGATGATGATGTATGTTCAGGGCTGCATTGCAATACTGATTGTTCGGATTACTGGCATCTAAGTCTTCCGCTGTGTTATCTTGTACTTTGCATTGAGAGGTTGGTTCTTGTTCTGGTCTACACGTTACGGTATGCAACAGTGTGTGACCCGCAAGGGAACTTCTTGTTTGGCAAGCCCGTAGGGCCGATACTTACCTGTGGCTGTGGCATTGAGGGTTGCAGACGGGAAAACACTCAAGTAGCGGAGCCAGGGGCCCGCGGTGATCAGAGCAGTGGAAAAACACTCAAGTAGCAGGTAGGACGGTACTGCACCCAGTAGCGGTAGATGTGCCGGGTACTCGAGGCCAAGCAGAAGAAGACAAAGTTGGCATTTTTAGAGGCCCAGTAGCGTTAGGCTAGGTCTAGGCCGGTACCAGTCCATTCAGTCTGAGTCTAGAGCCTGTACGGGCAATATCAGAGTCTGCAATGATGTTTCCCTCCGAAAGTGAGGACGTACTGGTTGCTTGGGAGGCCGAGCGGCCTGGAAGTCACCGCCCAGGAGGCAAGCAGGCCGCTATATCAAGAGGCCGAGGCAAGAGCTCGGCCTCATTTTTCAGTGTGCAAGTTTGGCGACATGCTGCTGGAGCGCTGGCTGGAGTGGCGCTGGGTACTACAGCGCTGCTGGGAGGAAGAAGCCGGGAGCTTCCGCCTTGGCTATGGTGGAGCTCTACCGGTAGGAGGAGGAGGGAGAAGGGGACCAAGGAGGAGAGTGGTGGGGTACTTACCTGGCTATGGCAGACA